ATGTGTGGGAGGTAGTAGAGAAAGGTTTTCTTGAACCGGAGAATGATGGTGGTTTATCTCAAACTCAAAAGGATAGTTTGAGAGATTCAAGGAAGAGAGACAAGAAGGCTCTCTGTCTAATCTATCAAGGATTAGATGAAGATACATTTGAGAAGGTTGCTGGTGCAAAGACGTCCAAAGAAGCATGGGAGAAGCTTCAGATGTCTTACAAAGGAGCGGAACAAGTGAAGAAGGTTCGTCTTCAAACTCTTAGAGGAGAATTTGAAGCGTTACAAATGAAGGAAGGAGAACTCATCTCAGATTATTTTTCAAGAGTCTTGATGGTTACTAATAACCTAAAGAGAAATGGTGAGAAGTTAGATGAGGTGAGAATCATGGAGAAAGTTTTGAGATCGTTGGATTCAAAATTTTGAGCACATTGTCACCGTGATTGAAGAGACAAAAGACTTGGAGACTATGGAGATAATGCAACTTCTTGGATCATTACAAGCTTATGAAGAAAAGAAGAAGAAGAAAGAAGACATTGTTGAGCAAGTTCTCAAAATGAGAGTCGATCACAAGGAGGAGAGTGGCCGAAGCAATCCAAGACGTGGTGGCGGTCATTTTCGAGGACGGGGACGTGGAGTAAATGGAAGAGGTTGGAGACCATCTGAAGAAAACTCTAATCAAAGAGGAGAGAGTTATTCAAGAGGTCGTGGAAGAGGAAATGCAAGATCAAGGTACGATAAATCAAGCATAAAATGCTATAACTGCGGAAAGTTTGGGCATTATGCTTCTGAGTGTAAAGCTCCAAACAACAAAAAAGTTGAAGAGAAGTCCAACTATATTGAAGAAAGAAGTAAAGAAGAAGATATGCTATTGATGGCTTGCAAGAGTGATGAACCAAATGAGGTTCATAGATGGTATCTTGATAGTGGTGCAAGCAATCACATGTGTGGTGATAGAAGCATGTTTGTGGAGCTTGATGAATCGGTGAAAACAAAGGTGGCTTTGGGAGATGAATCAAAGATGGAGGTCAAAGGCAAAGGAAATATTCTCATCCGTTTGAAGAATGGAGATCATCAATTTATTTCCAAAGTCTACTACATTCCAAGCATGAAGACCAACATCTTGAGTCTAGGACAACTCTTAGAGAAAGGTTATGATATTCGACTCAAGGATAATAGTCTTTCTCTAAGAGATGAAGCAAACAATCTCATCACGAAGGTCCCAATGTCAAATAATAGAATGTTTGTCTTAAACATTCAAAACGACATTGCAAGATGTCTAAAGATGTGTTACAAGGAGGATTCTTGGCTTTGGCATCTTCGGTTCGGGCATCTCAACTTTGGAGGGTTAGAGCTTCTTTCTAAGAAAGAAATGGTGAGAGGATTACCATGCATCAACCATCCAAATCAAGTGTGTGAAGGATGTTTACTTGGAAAGCAATTCAAAATGAGCTTTCCAAAGGAGTCAGAGACAAGAGCAACAAAGCCACTAGAACTCATACATACAGATGTATGCGGTCCGATCAAACCAACTTCACTTGGAAAGAGTAACTACTTCCTTCTCTTTATTGATGATTTTTCAAGAAAGACATGGGTTTACTTTTTGAAACAAAAATCAGAAGTGTTTGAGAATTTCAAAAAGTTCAAAGCCCATGTTGAGAAGGAAAGTGGTCTTGAGATCAAGTCCATGAGATCTGATCGAGGAGGAGAATTCACGTCTAAGGAGTTTCTGAAGTATTGTGAAGATAATGGCATCCGAAGACAGTTGACGGTGCCAAGATCCCCTCAACAAAATGGAGTAGCAGAGAGAAAGAATAGGACTATCCTTGAGATGGCAAGAAGCATGCTCAAGAGTAAGAAGTTACCAAAGGAGTTGTGGGCGGAAGCGGTTGCGTGTGCGGTTTATATAACAAATCGATCTCCAACAAAGAGTGTTTTGGGAAAGACACCACAAGAAGCTTGGAGCGGAAGGAAGCCTGGTGTATCACATCTATGAGTCTTTGGAAGTATTGCTCACGTTCATGTTCCAGATGAGAAGCGGAGCAAACTAGATGATAAAAGTGAGAAGTACATCTTCATTGGATATGACGCTAACTCCAAAGGCTACAAGCTCTACAATCCAGAAACAAAGAAGACAATCACTAGTCGGAATGTCGTCTTTGATGAAGAAGAAGAATGGGATTGGAGATCAAATGATGAAGACTACAATTTCTTTCCATCCTTTGAAGAAGAAGATTCGGAGCAACCAAGAGAAGAGCCAGCTACACCACCAACTTCACCAACACCAAGTTCTCAAGGAGATGAGAGCTCAAGTGAAAGAACTCCACGTTTTAGAAGTCTACAAGACATCTATGGAGTTACCGAGAATCAAGACAATCTTACTCTGTTTTGTCTATTTGCGGATTGTGAGCCTATGAACTTTGAAGAAGCTCAAGAAAAGAAGTCATGGAGGAGTGCAATGGATGAAGAAATCAAGTCAATTCAAAAGAATAATACATGGGAGATAGCTTCACTTCCAAATGGGCATAAAGCAATTGGTGTGAAGTGGGTGTACAAGGCAAAGAAGAACTCTAAAGGAGAAGTGGAAAGGTACAAGGCAAGATTGGTGGCAAAAGGTTATAGTCAAAGAGCCGGANTTAGGCTAATCATTTCATTGGCAGCCCAAAAGAATTGGAGGATCCATCAAATGGATGTCAAGTCAGCCTTCTTAAATGGAGATCTTGAGGAAGAAGTCTACATTGAGCAACCACAAGGCTACAAAGTCAAAGGAGAAGAAGACAAAGTCTTGAGGCTAAAGAAGGCGCTTTATGGATTAAAGCAAGCACCAAGAGCATGAAACACTCGGATTGATAAGTACTTCAAGGAGAAAGACTTCATCAAGTGTCCATATGAGCATGCACTTTATATCAAAACTCAAAACAATGATATATTGATTGCATGCTTGTATGTAGACGACTTGATAATCACCGGCAACAATCCGATTATGTTTGACGATTTCAAGATGGAGATGACAAAGGAGTTCGAGATGACTGATATTGGATTGATGTCATACTACCTTGGTATTGAAGTAAAGCAAGAAGAGAAGGGAATCTTCATTACTCAAGAAGCTTATGCTAAAGAGATGCTACAGAAGTTCAAGATGGATGACTCAAATCCAGTTTGCACGCCAATGGAATGTGGAGTCAAGTTGTCAAAGGAAGAAGAAGGAGAGCATGTGGATCCAACACTCTTCAAGAGCCTTGTTGGAAGCTTACGTTATCTAACATGTACAAGGCCTGATATCTTACATGCGGTTGGAGTTGTGAGTCGTTTCATGGAGCATCCAACAACAACTCATTTCAAGGCAGCTAAGAGGATTCTACGCTATATCAAAGGTACAAGCAACTTTGGTATGTATTACTCTATTTCTGACGATTACAAGCTTGTTGGATATAGCGATAGCGACTGGGGAGGAGATGTAGATGACCGGAAAAGCACAAGTGGCTTTGTGTTTTTCATTGGAGAGACGGCCTTCACATGGATGTCAAAGAAGCAACCAATTGTCACTCTTTCAACTTGTGAAGCGGAGTATGTGGCGGCTACTTCATGTGTCTGCCATGCTATATGGTTACGAAGCTTGCTAAAGGAGTTGAGTCTACTACAAGAAAAGCCAACGAAGATCTTTGTTGATAACAAGTCAACAATAGCATTGGCGAAGAATCCAGTTTTTCATGATCGAAGCAAGCACATCGATACCCGCTATCACTACATTAGGGAATGTGTCACCAAGATGGATGTGCAATTGGAGTATGTGAAGACAAATGATCAGTTAGCTGATATCTTTACCAAGCCCCTCAAGCGTGAAGACTTTATCAAGATGCGGAGTTTGCTCGGAGTGACAAACCAAGTTTAAGAGGGGGTGTTGAAATAATAAACTTGTTTTGGGTTCTCTCAATAGCCCAAGATCAAAGTATAATTATGCCTTCACACAAGAAGCCCAAGAAGAAGAAGTGTGTAGAAGGATTTATGGATAAGGCAAATAGAAGACTCTAGATCTATTTTACTAGTATAAATAGGGGTGTTTGGTTCACTTGTAAAATCATCCCACAACAAGCAAAANAACAAGCAAAAGCAATCATAAATAAAGAGTAGTAGTTTTAAGAAAGAGTTCTCTCTAAAAGAGTTATAAAACTCTCTCTAAATATAAAGCTTGAGTAGCA